GGACAATATTCTAGTGTCGCAGCAAAGTAAAGTAAGGGGCCTCCAATTGTCTAATAATGAGGGGTCTTTGTCTTTTCCATCACTACCCTGTTTTAACAATAATGAAATAATTCCTTGTTTCTGGGTGTTGGCTAAATAACCTTGTGCTAGAGAATAATTGAAACACTCCAGCATAGGGACTTTAAATACAGAAAAAAAATGTTTGTACACATCAACAGGGATTCCATCTAAACCAGGGGATTTACCACTTGAAAAGGAGTTAATCGCATCAATCAATTCTTTCTCTGTGATAAGACCTTCACAACCCAGCTGCTGATCATGTGACAGTGTTTTAGCATACTCCTGGGGAAAAAAATCTTGACAATTATCGGGGGTTAGGGGTAGTGGAGGGTCTTTAAAAGCATACAAGTTAGAATAAAATTCCTTTTGTTTTTTCAAAATTTCTTCAGGGTCACAAGTAAAGGTGTCATCTGAAATCTTTAATTTCTGTATATTCTTTCTGGTGTAATTTCTATGAGCCATATTTTAAAAAAATATTTTGTACATCTCTCTCCAGACTCCATCCACCTGGCTCTTGACCTTATCATTATTCCATTTAAACGTTGATTATAAAGTAAATCTAATTCTTTTTGTTTACTCTCTAAATCCTGGAGAATAGAATCTGGAGGGAGGGCAAGCTATCAATTTGGATATTAAGTCTATTTATATCATCAGTTAGTTTTTTCTCTTTGCATAGGTACTGTTTTTTTTTCCAACTACAATATTTTATACAGTGTCCCCTGAAAAAACATTTAGCAGCTTCCCACACGACATGGGGGTTAGATGTATTTCTATTAATTTGAAAGAATTCATTCATAATTTCAATTGTTTTCTGATAAAAGCATTTGTCATCTAACAAAGATAGGTTAAATTTCCAATACCCCTTACCCCGAGGGAACTCTGCAGTCACAATGGACATACAAATCAACTTATGGTCAGATTTGAAACTGTCTGAAATTACACATTTGTTTATCTTATTCATTAAAGAAAAACTAACCAAGAAATAATCTATTCTACTAGCTTGACGCCTACGACGCCAAGTATATCTAATACAACTGGGATTTCTAAATCTCCAAATATCATATAGGTCAAATTTACCTTTCAATTGAGAAATGGAGTCACGGGCTTTGGGGTGATACGTTATGTTAGTTGAAAATCTAGTCTAATTGTGGATCTTGTACAGTGTTAAAGTCACCGGTTATCACAAGGTTTTCATTGCAATCAGGGAAGTTTTCTAATTCATCTGACAAAATAGAAAAAAATTCCGGACAATCATCATTAGGCGCATACAAGTTGACAATACAAAATCTATAATCATCAATACTTAAATCAACAATAATCCATCGACCATTACAATCGATTTTAGTGTGGTGTATACTAGGATTAATATTGTTTTTAAAAAGGATGGCTGTACCTCTTTGACTAGAAGTTCCATGAGAAAAGATAATGGAACCCCCCCACTCACTCTGCCAGCTATTCTCATCAAGCGAGGTAGAATGTGTTTCTTGTAAACAGATAATTTGATATGGTTTATCTCGAAGCCAAGTAAATACCCCCCTACGTTTAAGAGAATCTCTAAGCCCGTTACAATTATAACTGGAAATCTGAACTTCTACCTGGGTCATGGTGGGTTGGGAATGGCATGTGTTGAAGGGGAAACATCTGGGATTGGAGTGCACGGTGAAATCATATCTGTAACAAAATAGAACTGAACAAAGGTAAACCAAACTGAAATATATAAACAATATAACTGAAAGGCTAAAAGAATGATAATATCTGTGGCAAACAAAACTGAACAAAGGTTAATATAACTGAAATACAATAAAGCAGGATGGTTCCCAGAAACAAAACAAAAACATAAAGGCCGCGCCATTCATGTGGGGCATTGTGTGGCTCCTCTGAACTGTGTCATTCATTTACAGTATTCCGCCAGAAGGAAAATATAACAGAAACATAATATAACAAAATATCATAACAATAAAGCAAGCTTGAAGAACTTGATCATTTCCCTTTTCAGCACAAGCAGCACAATAAATTATACAACAACCAAAATCAAATTATAAAGGAAAACAGAATACAAAATCATGTGCTGAAAGGGTTTTTCCTTAATCATAATTCAGGGGTGAATATCTGTTCAAACAAAAAGTAACAGAAACATAATAGGAATCAAAGTTCAAAATCATACCAAATGATAAACAGAGTGAAAAAATGAACTTCTCATCAATATATGCCTACCATTGTAGACATAATATAACAAAATATCATAATAGTAAAGCAAGCTTGAAGAACTTGTTGCTCATTTTCCTTTTCAGCACAAGCAGCACAATAAATTATACAACAACCAAAATCAAATTATAAAGGTAACAGAATACAAAATCATGTGCTGAAAGGGCTTCCCCTTAATCATAATTCAGGGGTGACTACCTGTTCAAACAAAAAAGTAACAGAAACATAATAGGAATCAAAATCATACCAAATGATAAACAGAATAGTGAAAAAATAAACTTCTCGTCAATATATGCCTACCATTGTAGAGTGGCAGTACCACCTTTATCTTAATTTAACAATAAATACAGAAAATATTTGTGTTTCAATCATTTAATATCCATCATATCAATCAAATATACATGCCACAATAATTCCTGAGCTGTAACATTACTTCTAGGGACAGTACACATTTCAAAACCAACAAATTCTTAATCTGGGTAACAAAAATAACTGATCAAAAGTTCTTAATTTTGTCTCAGTTTCAAATTCTTATAACAATTCAGAGAGTTCAGTGAGCTTCTGTTCAAACCTGTTTGACTTCCATTGAAATCTTGGTAGTGTCAAATACAAGGTCCACTGCATCCACTTTCTTTCTAGTCTTGCCGTTTACCAGTAGAACCGCACAAGTGTCCTTGGGTGGAACCCAGATGGAGATCTTCTGGTCACTGCGGTTACCCTTGGCCCTGGATATCTCTGCATCGCGGTCTGGAACCAGTTTTCCCCGGGCCTCCTGAAGTGGTCTCGGGAGATGTTCGTGCACGACGACGCCGCTGTCCTTCTCTCTCCCCAGTTTCCTCCCAGCACGCAGGATCAGGTCTCGCTGTTGGAAGTTGACAAGTCGCGCCAACATGGGAGGGTTGGGTCGAGCCTGTGTTGGTCTGGCGAGTCGGTGTACAGCTACAAGTGGAACCGGTTCGAGAATGTTCAGCCGACTGGAAACAAAGTCCCGGAAAACCTGCACAGAGTCCTCGTCCTTGTTCCACGCTAGTCCCCGCACAATCACATCAGCTTTCATGGAATACCTCTCCGCCAGAAGGTTTTCCCTGATTCTCTCACGGCGTTCATGCTGTAGTTCATCGCGTAGTTGGGTCAGCTCGTCGCTCTGAAAGCTGGCGTTATTTTCGAGTTCATATTGACCCTCCCTCGCAGTGTAGTAATTTCCGTAGATATGTCCATCACTTTCGCGTCTAGTTCCGACAACTTGCCACCCACAGAGCTGAATTCCGAAAGCACTGCTGCGTGTTGCTTGTTCGTGTGCGAGATAAACAGTTTCGCTAACGCACGTAGCTCAGGCGAGAAGCTCTCCAGACAACTATCGTCCCAACCACCTTCCGCCATCTTAGGTAGCTTGGGAGGGGGGCTCTTGCTCTGTCCTGTATTCTCCTTGCTAATGTTTCTGGCCCTTTTGTCTCGCCGCTTCGACATCAAAGAACACCGTGGAGTTTCACCAGCACCTTTTCAACAAGTAGGGCAAGACTGCGCAGCTCACCCGTAGGTTAAATTAGCGGAAAAGATCGAAAAAAGCTAGGAGCCACCACAATCGCGTGCTATTACCTGGGGGCCGCCATCTTGGAATGCATTTATAATTTTAAACCATTCCTACACCTTCCCTTGCACACCTCAGTTTCAACAGTTTCTTGGCCACTACAGCATGTGGCTAATATACATGTACATGTAATATATAATGGAGCGCTTTGTCGAGTTTAGTAATTATGGAATTAGGAATTTAGATTGAGAAGGACGTCTGCCCTTAGCCTATCTACTCTGTAGGGCAGGGACATTAGACGGCATACCGGTACAGTGTCTAGTCGCGGAATGAAACGGTCAATGTCAAGGCGTTCGAAGACACCAACAGATACCTTCTTAAAAACACTCGACTTCTCAGTCTCCAAGGTGACTAGTACCAAATCGAGAACACGTGTTACCTGTTCGAGCGGCACGTGGCATGTCACGTGGTGGTCACGTGCTGCTTCCCGTCAGACATGACGCCACATTGATCGATACCACGTGCGCATGAAATTTCTTTCGAATTCCCCAAAATAAAGTTTTCGACCATACTGTAAATCGTACAACGCAGCTACATTAAATGAGCAGCAAAACATACTAATTTGCAAAAAAAATGGCAAACGATACTTATGAGGTAGAATGCCAAAATCAATTCCAAAGGAAAAGAAGAAAATGTGAAATAAAAACAAAGTCTATTATTTGCTGTACCCATACTCTGTGAAAACGTAGATTTCATAATGAAGGCAAATCTTGCGGAAAACTTTTGTTCTCACACTCACATCAGTTTTTGGGTTCCCAGAGGATGTCATCCATATAATCAAATCAACATGGCCTTACTAGTAATAAAAACTGAACACACCTTAATCCCACAGAAGGTAAGCTATAACATTACCTTTTTATTTAAAACCATACTTACAATCCACTGATAAGTGTCAATCTAACCCTTTGAAGTTTCCATGTATCATCAGGACCTCTTAAACTCTTGGTGGAGGCAGTATTGGTGTTTTAGACCACTGACTTCATGACTGTTTTTTGCCTCAGTGACAGAAAACATCACAGACCATACTGCAGTTCACTATTTTTCTATATGTATTACTATGTCATTGGTCCTTGACAACAAAGTGGATTTCCGTATTATAAATAACAATAAATCATTTTGTTTTTTCTCTAAAAAACTGTGGTGACATCCCTAATGTAGTTCTAGAATCCTGTTGTCGTTAAGTACTGATTGCCTGTAATATTGTTATCCATGAGCTTAGTAGTACAATTATTTCAAATGTATACTTTCAGTTATAAGGTTGAAAATAAGATGTTGGTCCATCTTATAAGTTATGCCTACCATCTTAAAATCTACTTGGACACATAAAGCACGAACCTACCTAATCAGAAATACTAAATTGAAGTGTATGTCACTTTTCCTGTTGCAATAGTACAACTTTTTGACAGGGTCCTCATACAGGTGAGTCGTCTCATGTCAAACAAGTGTATGGCCACGTTTGCCAGGCTACGACTGACCGTGCCTGTTCCAGTCGTAGTAGGCGTACTTGGGAGAAGAGTTCAGCTCACCCATCGTGTAGTCCGTGTCGTCTGTGTCCCGGATGCTGCTGACTCCGTACTCGCTTTCTGCATATGACGGGGGAGCCGTGAAAGCTGCAAAACCAACACAGAGTTAGATACAGAAAATGCTGACGTATCGTCCTAATCTATTTATGACATCCCCTGGGCACTCAGGGCTCGAAATTCATTTTTGGGAATAGGTGCACTGGTTGAACCTTAAAAAATTATGTGCACAAAAATTGTTCTTAGGTGCACCATTATAAAACATTTTAAACCTTATTACAGATCTTACTGCTCCTCTTCTGAGCTTGAATCTGAAATGGGTGTCAAATTTAAAATCTTAGTACATGTACTTCAACAAAGATTTTTCTGACACTAAGAATAACCTGAGTGTATACTATCATACATTTGATATACATGTATACAAAATACCGACAGAAAAAATGGGACACCGGCAAAAATTGGGTGCACAGCTCAAATTTTGGGTGCACTAAGGTGCACATCCATGTACCGGGTAGTAGGCAGTCTTTCAAGCCCTGACACTACAAAGCACATGCTAGTGACCAACTATTGAGAACAACATACATTAGTATGCGTCGGTGAAGGTTAGACATCCAGGTAATATGATATGACAAAAAGCAGTTACTCAAGCAACTGGATATGATTTTGAAAACGTCAGACGTTTCAGCTAGTATCCACTAGCTTTCGTCAGTGACTGAGAGACCAGAGGGGAAAACAGGTTTATAAGCACAATCTATTGATTGATATGCAAATAAAGTGAAGACAAATTTTTTGGAAGTCGAAAAAGGGACAAAAGTCAGACAAGTCAAGACAAGATGATGCAAATTAGTCTGAAAGCTCCTGTTATACAGAACAGGAGCTTAAGTGTTGTCTGTTCTCGGGGCAAAATTGTAACAACACCTACATCGGAGAGACAAGTCGACCGCTCAAAGTAAGATACAAAGAACATTGCCGACCTAGTGCAAACGGCTACTCCTCAGCTATTTTCCACCACCTACAACACAACCAGGGTCACTCTTTCAAACTCGAGTCCACGGATGTCTTAGACCGCGAAACACGCTGGTGGGAACGGGGTG